CTACTTTTGTTCACAAATCAGCAGTTTGGACAGGGCTCTATGGGAACTCTGTTCGGTGTCAGCTGGAGCAGCTCAAAGACTAGACGCTAGAATCATCCGATGGCTCACTCACTCACATGGCCAGTGATTGATGCTGGCCGTCACCAGCAACCTTGGCTTGGGCTATGACCTACACATGACCTTTCCATGTGGGGCTGCTTGGCCTCCTCACAACATGGTGGCTGGGCTCCCAGGGTGAGTGTCCCAAGAGAGAGCAAAGAGGAAACTGTATCACCTATTCTAACCTAGACTTGGAAGTCATACAGCATCACTTCCACTGCATTCCATTCACTGAGATAGTTACAAAGACCTTCTGGGCTTCAAGGGGACAGGAAATCGATTCCATCTCTTGATGGGGAAGTGGCAAAGTGGAATAGTCTGTGAAACCAGAAATACTGTTGTGGCCACATTTGGAAAATACATTCTTCTATATGTAGAAACGAATAATGGAAGATGTTCAGCATCAGATATCAAAACATAATTACATTAATTAAGACAGACAAACAGAATCAACAGAAGAGCAGAAGGTCCAGAAACAGACCCAACTATAAAAGGGAACTTAGCATATGATAAAAGTATGAAAGGAAACAGCTATAATAAGAAGGAAATGAGGGGCACCTGGCTGGCCCAGTTGGTGGAGCATGCAACTCGTGATCTCCAGGTTGTGAGTTCGAGCCCTACGTTGGGTGTAGGGATTACTTAAAAAAATTTTTAAAAAAATTTTTTTAAGATTTTATTTATTTATTTGACAGAGACAGAGACAGCAAGAGCAGGAACACAAGCAGTGGGAGTGGGAGAGGGAGAAGCAGGCCTCCCCTCGAGGAGGGAGCCCGATGTGGGACTCGATCCCAGTACCCTGGGATCATGACCTGAGCCGAAGGCAGATGCTCAATGACTGAGCCACCCAGGCGCCCAAAAATAAAATATTTTTTTTAAAAAAGGAGGAAATGATAAGTATTTTGAAAAGACTGGCAAAAAAAATGAAAGAAAGAAAGAAAGAAAAAAGAAAAGAAGGAAGAAAGAAAAAAGAAAGGAAGGAAGAAAGAAAGAAAGACCAGAAAAAGAAAAGACCGGCCATCGATTTGGAAAACAAACAAATTAAATTAGATTCTATGGAAGACATTATTATTATTTTTTTTTTATGGAAGACATTATTGATTGGCTGAACAACCATTCCTAAAACTCTTTTCCCTTGCTCACCAGAAGTAACTTGTACCTTGCTCACCAGAAGTAACTTGTACCTTTATTTTTTTTTTAAGATTTTATTTATTTATTCATGAGAGACGGAGAGAGAGAGGCAGAGGGAAAAGCAGGCTCCCAAGGAGCAGGGAGCCCTATGCAGGACTCGATCCCAGGACCCTGAGATCATGACCTGAGGTGAAGGCAGACGCTTAACCATCTGAGCCACTCAGGCACCCAGAAGTAACTTATATCTTTAATTTTATGGTAATAATTCTATTACTTTTACTTTTCACCACATACGTATTTATACATAAACAATATTGTTCAGTTTTGCCTGTCATTAAATATTTGTAAATTGCATTGCACTGTATGTTTTCTTCTGTTATAGTTCCTTCACTGTTTCTAAAGTTCATCTGTGTAGATGCATGTAGCTGTGGCTCATTCATTCCCACTGCCCTATGACATTCCATCATATAAATATACCACAACTTATCACTCTGCTTGCTAATGCAAACAGTGAGACTATAAACCTTACTGCCTCTGTCTTTAGGGCCTGTCTGTAGGAGTAGGATTGTTGAATCATAGAATATTCACATATTCAACATTATCAAGTAATTCCAAACTCTTTTCCAAAATTATAGCAAATTGCATCCCCACCAGCAGTGAGTGAGGAGGGCTCCTGTTGGCTCACAGCCCTGTCAGCTCTCAGCATTGCCAGACTTTGTAATTGTTGCCAATTTAGTGGGTATGAAATGGTATCTTGTGGTTTTAATTTGCATTTTCTTGATTACTATAGAGAGAGAACAACTTTTCATATGTTTATGAGCCATTTCTGCTTCTTGTATGAAATTCCTGTTGATTTTCTCTGCCCATTTTTTTTTAATTTTTCTTTTTTTTACAGATTTTATTTATTTATTTGGCAGAGAGAGAGCACTAGTAGGCAGAGAGGCAGGCAGAGGGAGAGGGAGAAGCAGGCTCCCAGCTGAGCAGGGAGCCCAACGCGGGGCTCAATCGCGGGACCCTGGGATCATGACCTGAGCCGAAGGCAGCGGCTTAACCCACTGAGCCACCCAGGCGCCCCTCTCTGCCCATTTTTCTATTTGGGTGTTTATCTTTTCATTTGTAAAAGGCCTTTATAAATTTCAGATGATAATCCTTTGTTATGTGTCTTGAAATATCTTCTCCCAATTTGTGGCTTGATTTTACATTCTTTTCATAGTGGTTTTAAAAATAAATTTAAGTTTTTAATATTAATTATCTAAATTTATCAATATTGTCTTTTATGGTTTGCTTTCTCATGTTTAAGAATTCACTCCCAATAGCAGAAGGCATTGTACAATAGTGTCTAGAGCATATTCTGATTCAGATAGCCTAGGTTCAGATCTTGGCTCCCTCACTTACTGTGTAACACTGGGCAAATTATTAACCTCTCAATGCCTTAGTCTTCTCATCTGTAAAATAGGGATAATCACAGTACCTATCTGATAGAGTTGCTAAGAGATAAAGTGGCAACATATGTGAGGCCTTTAGAGAAATCCCCAGCACATATTAAGCTCTAGATAAATACTTGCTGTTATTGTGGTGATGCTAATCAGATCATTTTTATTGTTACTTCTCAGGACAAGGTACATTATACCTTATTCGGCGCTGCATTCCCCGCTCTTTTTTTTTTTTTTTTTTTTTTTTTAAAGATTTTATTTATTTATTTGAGAGTGAGAAGGAGAGAGCATGAGAGGGGGAGGGTCAGAGGGAGAAGCAGGCTCCCCGCCGAGCAGGGAGCCCGATGTGGGACTCGATCCCGGGACTCCAGGATCATGACCTGAGCCGAAGGCAGTCGCTTAACCGACTGAGCCACCCAGGCGCCCCTGCATTCCCCGCTCTTAACGCAATGCCTGGCATAGTGAATACTTGCCTGTTTTTCCCATCTTAAGCCTTTCGCCCCATGCAACCTCACCTTCTTACAGTGCTGTCAAAATAATCTCCTTTACATACCTATGATACTTTTTCTCCCTTTCCTGAAGTTTCCATTTATTCCCTGCCACCTGCAAATTCCTAAACCAGCATAATTTACCCCAATCTCTTTTTCTAATCAAAGTGCCCTATATCTCCCTTCATACCAAACAGTGGTGGTTGGGGGTATCTTTCTATCAGTCTATACCCATATTTGTATATGAGTGTCTACAAGTATGTATACACAGTCTAGGGCAGTGTTCAAGAAAATGGGCTCTGAAGGCAAACTGCCTGTCTTTGGATCCTGATTCCAGCACTTACTACATACATAACTGTGGACAAGTCCCTTCACTTCTCCGAATCTCAATTTCTTTGCCTATAAAACAGAGACAATAACTACTTACTTCAAAGAGCTGTCATGAGCATTAAATGAGGTGTTTAGAATTAGGGATGGTGTCTAGCACACAGAAAACACCAATAAATTTTTGCTGTTAATCGAAAACCTTCTTGCCAGTGTATCCTTATTCCCCCAAACTCTGCAATTCCTTAGGTTCTCCCAGCACCCACAGAAGCCAGTAGTTGGTTATTGGGGGCTATAAAGGGCAAAGGTGACCAGATCAGACAGTTCTGCTTGTGCCCTTTAAAAAGTACACTGATGATGAGACTAGAGAATGTATTAGAATCAGGACTGCAAATAGAGTTTTAGGTGTAAAGTATCTGTTGTGCAAAACAAAATACATCCATTCAAAAGAATGTTAACCTGCAGTCCCTGACCTCTGAAATTAGATGCGAAACTTGGTCTGCATGTGCGTTTTTCACGGCAGAGGATTCATTGCTTTCATTTGATTCATGACCTAAAAACATCCTTAACGAAAAGGGTTAAGAACCCATGACCTATACGGTACAAAGTTCTATGAGAGTAAAGAGTTCCTGTGGGTATCCAGCACCCCCTGGGGGTGTCAGTCAAAATTCCAATGTTCGCTGAGTGCAAAACTATGGGGATGCAGATACATTAGCAACTCTTTGGAGGGAAATAAAGTACCCACGGGAAACCCATGAACGCTTGGCATTTTAACTAAATGTGGTACAGCTGCGGAGGTTTTGAGGCCTCCATCAGAGAGGAACGTGAGCCTGTGTTTGCAGATTTGTTGTGGAGTGCCTGTATGCTGTTGAGGGCGGGGGTCGAGGGTGGGGTGCTCAATTTGTTTTTCATCAAAAAGGTTATGTGAGCTTACAGCGAACCTCCATCACTACTACCCATAATTTTCTAGCTTTTTTTTTTTTTAATCATCCATTGATTCTTTTCTTCCACTAGCTCTGACGACCGAAGGCAAAACTGAAACCCGGAAGGAGAGGGCAAAGGAAAAGAAAGCTCCAAAGGGAGCCCAGCGCACGGGCTTTCGTCCTGCGGTCCCTTTAAGAGAAGAATCTCTTGGGACCGGCAGTCCCAGCCGACCCCAGTTTTAACCGAAACCTAACCCGGACTTCCCCCTCTTCGCTCAAATAAGACCAACTTTGGATTTTCCCTCCCCTATTGACCAATCAGAATCTGTTACCAGGCAGACTTTAGCTGCCGGCAGTGCGAGCCCGGCGCCTTCTGTCTCCGGGTGGCAGCAACGACCAATGAGAGAGCAGGTCGTCCGAGTATCTAGGCAGATCGGGGCTGTTCCAGCCATTCAGAAAAAAGAAAATAAAGCAACGCACGAGCCCGCTGGGCCAGGACCGTGGGGCTGGGCTGGAGTGAAGGTGGCTACGAGGTAGTTTCTCTTTCTCCCTTACCTTTATTGTTGCTTGTGTTGGAAGGCGACTGTTCAAAGGTAGGGAGGGGGCAGTATGAGTTGGGAGGAGAGCAGAACAAGATTTTGGCTGTATTTTCAAAGCTCCCTCACCCATGTGCACGTGCCCCGAATCTGGGACCCCGTTCCCCCAACCGGGTTTCCTACGCCTAGCCCAGGAGTTCGCCACCCTGAACCCCCCACCTTGCAACAACGCGGGATTGAATGCAGGGGGAAGGGAGGGAGGTGGGGGTGCGCCTCTGGATGGGAGGTTGAGGGAGATGACGTAGGGACCGGCGACGTGGGGAGGGGGAGCCGCGGAGGAAGCCGTGGCGAGATTAAGTAATGAGAACTTGGGCCCAGTGTTTTCCAAGGCTGGAAGGGCAGAATATGTTCGTATCCTTTCTGACCTCCCAGGAAAATTAAGGCGTGAGGAGTAGCTTAGAGAATTGGAGAACTTTGTTTTGTGGTTGTTATTATTTTTATTTTTGTTTTTTTTTTTTTAAGGGGATGAGGGCAGTACGGGATCAGAGGCAGAAAAGGACATGTCTAACGTCGATTCCCAGTCCCCCTATCCCTTCCTTTACAGTTTTCCATATTTAGGAGACTGCAGAAAGGTGGGGCAGACAGAATGGATATGGCAAAGATCTCTTTGGGTATATGTGGACCTGGAGAAGTAATGGGATAATTTCTAATTTTTGGAGAAGGCAAGTGGTGGGGAAAAAAAGACCACTGAGGAAATTCAGAGGCTTTCTTTCTGTTTCTCTGTGTTTCTGGGTAGGGAGATGAGGAGTGCCCGGGGCCCTCCAGGGAAAGGGAGGTTAAATCCTCATGCCTGGTCTCCTCTCAGCTCTAGCCCTCATGCCGGGATGGCCGAAGATGAACCCGATGCTAAGAGCCCAAAGACTGGGGGAAGGGCCGCCTCAGGTAGTGCTGAGGCAGGAGAACCCACCACCCTTCTTCAGAGGCTCCGAGGTACCATTTCGTAAGTACTCATCACCACCTCCAAACCTTGCTCCAGAACTGTAGCCCTTCACTTCCTCTGTAGATGAACTGCCTCTCCCTGAGCAAGTGCATCTGAGCATGGGGAGATTCTTCATCATGGGAGCAGTTGCTGAGCACCCCTTAAGCATCTCATCCCTCTTCCTCTCCCTAACAATAAGACACCAGAGAAAATCTTGTGTCTGACCTCCAGCTTTCTCCTCTTTTCCACAGCAAGGCTGTGCAGAACAAAGTCGAGGGAATCCTGGTAAGTATTTTCGGGAAGAGGGCAATAGAGAGGTGGAATTGGTGGGGGATGAGGATGATGAAGATATGCATAACTGGAAGGTTTATGTGGGAGAGGCAGTATTGTCTTCCCTGTCAGAAGGTAATTGGCTTTGCAACTTGTTGCCCGATTGACCTTGAGCATCTTACTTCATCTCTCTGTGACCTGTTGCGTAGACGCTCAGTAGGAATAATATCAAAGCCGATCCCCTCCACTCCCCCTCTCACCACAGTAGCTCACAAGGGCACTCCTCACAGCACAGTGAACACCCAGCCCCAAATCATTTCTAAGGTCCTTTTTCAGTCTGACAGTCTCTAAGGCAGCTGGACTTTGGGGGAAGGATCAGAAGATCCTGTCTTGTGTCCTTCTTGGCCTTATTTTTTCTCCTGCCTCTCTGTTCCTACCTCAGCAAGATGTACAGAAATTCTCAGACAACGACAAGCTGTATCTCTACCTTCAGCTTCCCTCAGGGCCCAGTACTGGAGACAAAAGGTAGGTTTGGTGCTAGAGTTTAAGATATCAGAGGTTCTGGTTTTTAAAGGAAGGCTCACTGGGATGGGGCTGGGTGAATAGGAGTACTCATAACAGCTGTCCTTGATGAGAATAGTCCCTGTCCTGCCCTGGTTTACCAGGAAAAGCTGGATTCTGGGTGATTTGGTCCAGCACTGCTGAAGCAGTAGTCTGGATAGAACCACAACTTTAGGATCTTAGTAAGGCTTGTCCCTTTTACTTCTCTTGCAGCTCAGAGCCAAGTACACTCAGCAATGAGGAGTACATGTATGCCTATAGGTGGATACGTAACCACCTAGAAGAGCATACTGACACCTGTTTGCCAAAGCAAAGTGTTTATGATGCCTATCGGTGGGTGAATGGGGCGGGGGGGGGGGTGGTTGGCGGGCGTAGGACTACCCCTCACCCCGGAGAGCTCCCTGCCTTGATAGAGCCTGACTTCTTAAAGGGTTTCCCAAACCTGTGCCGGGGACCCTCGGAATCTAACCATGACCTCCTTCTCTGAGTGTCTTCCCACTCTACCCCCTCCCCACTCAGGAAGTACTGTGAGAGCCTCGCCTGTTGCCGCCCACTCAGCACAGCCAACTTTGGCAAAATCATCAGAGAGATCTTCCCTGACATCAAGGCCCGAAGGCTTGGTGGCCGGGGCCAGTCCAAGTATCCTTGAATGGAGAGGTTGGGGTTGGAGGACCCGGGGAGGAAAACTTAGGGTGTCGAGGGCCAGGAGTGGAAACAGCCTAACCTTCCCACGGGGCTTGGAGATCCCCACCGTTGGCTGCTCTTTAACTTGCCTCAGATATTGCTACAGTGGCATACGAAGGAAGACCTTGGTATCTATGCCCCCCTTGCCTGGACTTGACCTGAAAGGCTCGGACAGTGTAAGTAACAACCAACCCTCCGATTGCACTCTTCTTTCCAAGGCGGAGGGCTGACACAGCCTAGGTCATTCTGCACATAGCTTCTAGGTATATAGGATATGCCCTTCTACCTACCCTGTGGCTCAGGCAGAGGATGAAGAGAATTTGTGGGTTTCTGGGATGAGTTACCCCATCTCCAGTCTGGTCTTAACTGTGGCTGACATTGGTGTCTGAGAGGGGCCGAGGGTTCTTTAGTTTGGAGTGTGACTGGGCATGTGTTTCCCCACTGCAGCCAGAAATGGGCCCAGAAGTAACCCCAGCACCTCGGGATGAGCTGGTGGAGGCAGCCTGTGCTCTGACCTGCGACTGGGCAGAACGAATCCTGAAACGGTCCTTCAGTTCCATCGTTGAGGTCGCCCGCTTCCTGCTGCAACAGCATCTCATCTCTGCCCGATCTGCACATGCCCACGTGCTCAAGGCGATGGGGCTTGCTGGTAGGTGGAGACTCTCAGGCCCCAAAAAACTCTCAGCCACTTTCAACATCATAGGCCCTCCCACCTACTAGGACAGAGACACCTTGCATTTGGCTTCTATTCCTAGTGCCCCTTGTAGGGCATTAGGACACCTTCTTCCCCCTTCTCCACCAGTCAGTCAGTCAGAGTCACCTCACTTGGCCATTGTTTCCTCCTCACTCTCACCTTATTACCTTTTCTGGCACCTCTGCAGAAGACGATGAACATGCCCCTCGGGAGCGGTCATCTAAATCCAAGAATGGTGTAGAGAGCCTAGAAGGTGGAGCCCATAAGAAACCAGAGAGACCAGCCCAGGTAAGGAAGTTGATGCCACTGACCTTGCTACCCTGGGCTGGGGGCTTGGTATCCCCTTTCCCATATCTTCTCACCCTCCTGTGTCTGTGTTTGCTCCAATGTCTAGTCTTCCCACTTACTGTGTCCTCTCTTCACCTTTTAGCCTCCTAAGGAGCTGGAACCCCGGGCTGGAGGTGGCCCCCCTGCACGTGGCGAGCGGAAGAAGAGTGTAGTGGAGAGCCCAGCCCCAGCAGCCAATAACCCACAGGTTAATGCCCTGGTGGCCCGGCTGCCTCTGCTCCTTCCCCGGGCCCCTCGCTCACTTATTCAGCCAATCCGAGTCTCTCCACCCATCCTGGCCCCCAAGCTTTCTTCAGGCCTGAAAGTGGCTACACTGCCTCTGCCCAGTAGGGCGGGGGGACCCCAGGCAGCTATGCCCATCATTAACATGATCTTACCAACCGTTCCTGCTTTGCCTGGACCCGGACCCGGGCCTGGGCAAGCCCTGCCTGGGGCGCTCACTCAGCCGCAGGGCACAGAGAACAGGGAAGTAGGCATAGGTGGTGACCTGGGACCCCATGACAAGGGTGTCAAGAGGACAGCTGAAGTACCTGTGAGTGAGGCCATTGGGCAGGATCCACCTGCTAAAGCAGCAAAGCAGGATATAGAGGATACAGGAAGTGATGCCAAAAGAAAACGGGGGCGCCCTCGAAAAAAATCAGGTGGAAGTAAGGAAAGGAACTGTCCCCCTGACAAGTCAGCACCTGCCATGGACTCTGCCCAGTCCCCAAGGTTACCACAGGAGACGTGGGCCTCTGGAGGGGAAAGCAACTCAGCTGGAGGGTCAGGGAAGCCAGGACCAGTGGGAGAGGCTGAGAAGGGGATGGTGCTTGCCCAGGGTCAGGAAGATGGTGCTGTTTCCAGAGGAGGAAGGGGCCCCAGTTCCCGGCATGCCAAAGAAGCAGAAGCTAAAATTCCTCTGGTCACCTCAAAAGTGAGTGTCATCAAGGGCAGTAGAAGTCAAAAGGAAGCTCTTCATTTGGTAAAGGGAGAGGTAGACACCGCAGCGCAGGGTAATAAAGACTTAAAGGGGCATGTGCTTCAAAATTCCTTATTCCACAAGGGGAAAGACCCCAAAGCAACACCCCCATGATAGGTATGTGGGGAAGAGTGTTTATATCCACATTAACTCTACCTGCCTAGTAGAGGTCCCTCTGCACTTGCTTCTCATTTGGCTTTTCTTTTCCCAAGGGAATTCATTCACCTGTACAGACAGCTGAGGCACCCTGTCTTACACAGTGTCCGGCTCCTGCCTCTGACCTTTCCAGCTCAGTACCCTTGGCTTTAGCGTCATTGATAAATCTGTCGTGACTGTCTTACCTGGATCTCTGTGCTATCCTGCAGGAAGATAGGGATGGAGTAAGTATGGTGAATGTATAGGCTAGGAATCTTTTGGTTTTAAGTAGTAAAAAAAACCCAACTCAGACTGGCTTAAAAATAAAGACTGACTGGCTCACATAACCGGAAAGTCCAGAGGTAGTACTGGCTCCAGGAAAAGCTGATGCGGTGGCTCAGTGTGTCTCTAAATACCTGATGGATTTCCCCCTGCTGCTACCTTCTGTAGGATCATCTTAAACCTGGGCCACCTAGTGGCTGCCAGCACTCCTGGGAGTAGACGTTTTCTCGTTTACACCCAACCAGAAGGGGTGGGGGGCATCTTTGTGCCAGGCATCCTAGCAAAGCCTTAAGATGGACTCTGATTAGGCCAGCCTGGGTCACATGCCGATCCCTAACCAATCACTGTGCCAGAAGGATGGTGTATGCTAATTCGCTCTTTCTACATCAGGGAAAGGTTGGATCACATAGGTCTCCAAATGGGAACTGACGCGGGCAGTTCCTGGGGAGGCAGCTGACACCCGGCCAATACCAGGAAGTACATGTGGTTTTAGCTTGCTAGGTTGGGATCAACTACACCTGTTTCCTTTTTCCCTCACCGTCTTGCGTTTTCCTTACTGCAGCTGTAGCCTCTTTCCTCTTGTAGGCGCAGAAGGAATGAGAGGGAAGTCACTCTCCTTTAGGGACTATCTCTTTAGTCTCATTTAGATGACAGTCCCATTTCAGAGATGGAGATCCTTCCCTTTCCTGTTTCTGAATGTTGGTTTTCTCATTCTGCTTCCCTATCCCCGACCCTACTGCCACTTTCACTAAGTGGAGTGAAAGATTTACTTCCTAGTCATTTTATTAAATCCATTCTGTATCCACCAGGTGTCAGTCTCTTGTCATACATGTGTCAGGATTTCAGCCAGGATTGTGGGGTTTAGACTAGGTGTGTGGCAGGAGGTAGCTCTGCACATCCGCAAGCACCAGTAAGAAGGGAACCCAGATGTTACCCTTTGAAAAGCAGTAAACCAACCAGTATTTACTGAGGACATACGTCATTTTCTGCATAAGGGTAGCTTCTGTCAGGGAATCTTGGTTCTGCACAGGAAACAGATTTTCTTTCAGGGAGACTTCACTCATTTGTTTCCACCACAGCAGATTTTTAAAAATTATAATATGTAATATTTGGTATCTATAAAGAATATATTTAACATGAATAAATTATGAAACATAATATTAAATGAATACCTTTGACCCATCGCCCAACTTATACATTAAAACATTAGAAATACCATTGAGTTTCTTGTGTTCCTACCCATTCCTATCCCACCTGCCTCTCCCTAGAGGTAACCACTGTCCTTAATTTTATGTTTATTAATTGCCTGCCACACACACACACACACGTGTGTATATATTTAACCATATGTGTACAATATTCTTTAAAAATTATTGTTCAATTTTGCTTTTTTTATCTTTACAAAATTTTTATGCTCTAATAGTCCCCTGAAGTTTGCTTCGTTTCACTTAACATTTCCAAGATTCATCTATGTTGTAAGTAGCTGTAATTCGTTCATTTTCACCTGTGTAATATTCCATCAAGTACATAATCCACAAGTTATTTATGCATTCACCTATTAATGGACATTTGGGTTGTTTCTAATTTTTTGCTATTACAAACAATGCTGCTATGAACATTCTTGTACCTGTGTGCCTTTTTGAAGTAAGATTTCTAAAAAGGTTTCTAAGATGGTTCATTTGGTCTGTACACCCTCTTATTCTTTGGAAGAGTTGACATCAGATTGAAATGAGCTGTCCCTTGACACTTTGGTAAAACTCAGCTGTCGAACCATCTTTGCCTGTCTTTTCTTTTTGGGAAAAATTTTAACCATCAATTCAAGTTCTTTAATAATTATAGGTGTCCGGACTTTCTATTTCTTTTTTTTTTTTTCATGGCTTAATAGCTCATTTATTTTTATTTTTTTAATTTTTTTTTTTAAGATTTTATTTATTTGACAGAGACACAGCGAGAGGGGGAACACAAGCAGGGGGAGTGGGAGAGGGAGAAACAGGATTCCTGCTGAGCAGGGAGCCCAATGTGGGGCTCGATCCCAGGACCATGGGATCATGACCTGAGCCGAAGGCAGACGCGTAATGACTGAGCCACCCAGGCGCCCCTATTTTTTTAATTTTTTAATTTTTTTATTTTATTTTATGTTAGTCACCATACATCATTAGTTTTTGATGTAGTGTTCCATGATTCATGTTCCATGTTTATGTATAACACCCAATGCTCCATGCAATACGTGCCCTCCTTAATACCCATCACCGGGCTAACCCATCCCCCTGCCCCCCTCCCCTCTAAAACCCTCATTTTGTTTCTCAGAGTCCATAGTCTCTCATGGTTCATCTCCCTCTCCAATTTCCCCCCCTTCAGTTTTCCCTTCCTACTATCTTCTTTTTTTTTTTTTTTTTAACATATAATGTATTGTTTGTTTCAGAGGTACAGGTCTGTGATTCATCAGTCTTACACAATTCACAGTGCTCACCATAGCACATACCCTCCCCAATGCCCGTCACTCAGCCCCCCATCCCTCCCACCCCCCACCACTCCAGCAATCCTCAGTTTGTTTCCTGAGATTAAGAATTCTTTGTATCAGTGAGGTCATATGATACTTGTCTTTATCTGATTGACTTATTTCACTTAGCGTAATACCCTCTAGTTCCAGTTGCAAATGGCAAGATTTTGGCTTTTTGATGGCTGTATAATATTCCATTGTATATATATACCACATCTTTATCCATTCATCTGTTGATGGACATCTTGGCTCTTTCCATAGTTTGGCTATTGTGGACATTGCTGCTATGGACTTTCTATTTCTTTTTGAGTCAATTTAGGGTAAGTGTTCTAGGATTTTGTGCATTTCATGCCTTTTTTAATTTTTTATTATTATTTTTTAAAGATTTTATTTATTTCTTTGACAGAGAGAGACACAGCGAGAGAGGGAACACAAGCAGGGGGAGTGGGAGAGGGAGAAGCAGGCTTCCCGCCGATCAGGGAGCCCGATGTGGGGCTCGATCCCAGGACCCTGGGATCATGACCTGAGCCGAAGGCAGATGCTTAACGACTGAGCCACCCAGGCGCCCCATGCCTTTTTTTTTAATGAAATTTTTATTTTATTTATTTATTTATTTTTGCCTCTGCTCTCGGTAGTCATGTCCTTCTTTTCATTTCTACTGCGTACTTTTACCTTCTTATTTCCTCCTCATCAGTTGCACCAGAAGTGTGTTATTTTACCTGTCTATGTTGTGCTACTACTTTGGGCTTTGTCAGTCTTCTCACTTATGTATTGTTTTCCATTTCATTAATTATGGATATTATCTATAATATTTCCTTCTGCTTTCTTTAGATTTAATTTTATGTTTTTCCATAACATCTTAAATTTGATCTAATTAATTTTCAAGCTCTGCTTTTCTACTGTAAGTTTTTAAGGACCTGTTTCTCTATATTCCCTGAATTTTTTTTGCTGTATTTTGATTATAACTTAGCCCTAAGAATATTTAAATTGCCTTTATGACTTTTTTAAATTTATGAGTTATTTAGAAAAGTTTTATGAATTTCCAAATGTCTGGATATTTAAAATTTTATCTTTTTGATATCCATTTTCAGCTTAATCATTTGTGCTCAGAGATGTGGTACTCTGATACTAATTTGAAATTTGTTGGGATTGTTATTTTATATTTCTGTGACTTCTCGGTATCTGAATGTTTTGTTTTCTGCTCACTCTTGCCTGTGGTAGCTTGTTTCCTATTTATTCTCAGTTTGGAGGTTTGGGGCTCATATTTTGTTAAACTTAATCTGTGGGAATCCAGAGAGCCTAAATTGGGGGTACTTTCCCCCAGAGAGGATTTGCATTTGCTTGTGCCAGGATCCAAATGATGCTCCTGACCTGGAACTGTGTTAGCCCCTCAGGAGTCTCAGTTCAATCTGTTAGTCCCAGGTTTTCTCCAGTTCCATGGCTAGGCCCAGGCCTTAGCCTCTTTTCACGATACTGATATTGGCAAACCTGCTGCTCCTGCTGCCTGTTGCTCGTCTTTCATACAGGTTTCAGCTTAATGTTATCTTTTTCTTCCTTTCCTGATTTCTCTTTCTAATGCGCCCAGCAATGTGCTAAACATTGTTTCTTTTTTTTTTTTTTTAAGATTTTATTTATTTATTTGAGACAGAGAGAATGAGAGAGACAGAGAGCACATGAGAGGGGGGAGGGTCAGAGGGAGAAGCAGGCTCCCCGCCGAGCAGGGAGCCCGATCCGGGACTTGATCCAGGGACTCCAAGATCATGACCTGAGCCGAAGGCAGTCGCTTAACCAACTGAGCTACCCAGGCGCCCTAAACATTGTTTCTTGTAATTTATCCAGGCTCTACTTGTATTTTAATGGGAGAGCCTTTTCTCTTATCCAGGCTGCCAGAAATAGGCATTACTGCAGTTTTTCTATTTTCCTTCGTGTTTTTGTTTTTTTTTTAAGATTTTATTTATTTATTTGACAGAGACAGAGACAGCGAGAGCAGGAACACAAGCAGGGGGAGTGGGAGAGGGAGAGGGAGAAGCAGGCTTCCTGCCGAGCAGGGAGCCCAATGTGGGACTCGATCCCAGGACCCTGGGATCATGACCTGAGCCGAAGGCAGACGCTTAACGACTGAGCCACCCAGGCACCCTTCCTTCGTGTTTTTTAAGTGCCAGGAACTTATTAGAAGCCAGTTGACTTAGGCTCTGACTTCAAGTCAATAATGATCACAGCACAGTGGCAACATAACAGTTATGTTAGCATTAAGCACAGAGAGCTGTGGGGGCCCAGAGGAATAGCATATAAGTCAGACGGGGGTGTGGGATGACTTCCAGTAGAGGTGAGTAGGAGTTAGCTGGACAAGTCTAACTCATAAAGCAAGGACAGAACAACATAAGACATATGGTAAAAAGAGTTAAATCATAGCACTCATTCTGCATAAGAACTATAAATGCAGAGAGATCACTTTGGGCTGAATAATTTGGGAAGGTTTCATGGAAAAGATATGCTTGAGTTAAACCTTTAAGGTATGTGGAGCTTAGGTGAAAAAGGAAGACATTCCAGGAAAAACAGGGGTTTGGGGAGCTGTGAGCTGTGACTAAAGGCATAGCAGAACAACCCCCCATAGAGACCTGGCAGGCAGAGGGGTGTGTATGAACAATACTGAGAAGTCAACTAGAAGAACACACAACCATTATTATAGTTATCTGTTGACTGAATGAATGGATGAAAGGTATGAAGTTTCCATTAGAGGATGAAGGAACTGGAATTAGAAGGAACCAACCAGGCAGATGGTTCAATGTGGGAGGAGAAGAGGGACTGGACCGGGCTGCTGACACATTAGAAGTGATAGGCATATGGAAAAATAAACCACTGGTGTTAGAATAGATGGAAGCATCCAAGGAAACACTGTCCTTACCTTGGTTGGGCCTGGGGATATATCCGTTCATTCTGGGAGACCAGCCCACGCGAGGATTTTGAGATTTATGTGTGTTTTTGGGTTTTTTTAAGTTTAATTTTTTTAGTAATCTCTACACCCAATGTGGGTCTAGAACTCATGACCCCAAGATCAAGAGCCACATGCTCTTCTGGCTGAGCCAGCCAGTACCTGCCCCCCCACCAGGGGTTTTTAAGTAGCCTATTTTTAAAAGATTTTATTTATTTATTTGACAGAGAGAGACAGAGGAACACAAGCAGGGGGAGTGGGAGAGGGAGAAGCAGGCTTCCCGCAGAGCAGGGAGTCCGACGTGGGGCTCGATCCCAGGACCCTGGGATCATGACCTGAGCTGAAGGCAGACGCTTAACGACTGAGCCACCCAGCCTGGCTCAATTGGAAAAGTATGCAACTCTTGACTTAGGGGTCGTGAGTTCAAGCCCCACGTTGGGTGTAGAGATTACTTAAATAAATAAAACTTAGGGGCACCTGGGTGGCTCAGTCGTTAAGCGTCTGCCTTCGGCTCAGGTCACGATCCCAGGCTTCTGGGATCGAGCCCTGCATCGGGCTCCCTCCTCGGCGGGAAGCCTGCTTCTCCCTCTCCCACTCCCCCTGCTTGTGTTCTCTTCTCTCGCTGTGTCTCTGTCAAATAAATAAATAAAATGTTTAAATAAATAAATAAATAAAATCTTTAAAAAAAAAATCTAAAATGAAACAAGTTATTGTCATTTAGGCAATCTTCAGTTTACTGGAGTAAAGGTTTGAGGACTGCCTACTGCTTCCTCCCCACCATTCCTACTCCCTCCCCAGCACCCCACTCTGCACTCCCATGACCTCACCCACCAAACATCATATTTTTTCATTTTAGCCCAGTCATAAGTTGAAGATAACTTATAATTCACTAAAACTTGAAATAATAATTTACTACTAAACCAAGACAAGCTCTATATGTCTAGTCTATGGCTCCAAATTTATTGTTTATTTTTGTGGATACTAAGCAACTTTCTTCAGAAATGAAAGCAAATGCCACATTCACTCACATACTAAACAGGGGGACTAATGTCATTATATATTTGTCTAAATGTTTAATCTCACGTTATGTTTCCTCAGTAGGCCTATCCCTTTGCCTAGGATTGTCCTGCTGGCTTCATACAATGAGATAAAGCTAAGCACAACATATATATAATGCATTTTTTAAGAAATGTTCATGAGAAGGTATTTGTTTGCTGGAAAGAGCATGAATTCAGTTCACATCTAGCTTTACCACTTATGATTTTGAACATTTATTTAGTAAAGTTTTCCAAACTACAGATTGCAACCCATTCATGGGTTGTGAAACTGATTTAGCAGGATGCAAAACAGTATTTTCAAAAAGGGAAATAGAATAGAAAATATCAGAATGCATTGCATATAGTTAGGGTATTATTTCATGAAACCTTTATGTCAATGAAGACACATTTGTGTGTTCTTCAGTGATCATGAGAATAAAATGTATTTTTTATTGTGGGTTGAAATAAAAAAAAACCTTGAAAAAAATGACCATTCTGAAGCTCAGTTTCCATAAAATGGTATAATACCTCTTTCACGGGATTGTAATGAGGAATAAAGAAGTAATGTTTGTTTTCATATACAGTAGTGGCTTGGGCAGTAACTGCTGGCTTCTTTATCTTTTCTCTGAAAAAAAAAACCCCAGGGGCGCCTGGGTGGCTCAGTTGGTTAAGTGACTCCCTTCAGCTCAGGTCATGATCCTGGAGTCCCGGGATCGAGTCCCGCATCGGGCTCCCTGCTCAACAGGGAGTCTGCTTCTCCCTCTGATCCTCCTCCCTCTCATGCTATCTTTCATTCTTTCTCTCTCAAATAAATAAATAAAATCTTTAAAAAATAAATAAATAAAATAAAATAAAAATAGGTTCAGCGTGGTGAGGAATTTTAGAGAATATCATGTCATGCTTTAATTTAATATAGGAAACAAAGAATAGCATTCAGTTTTATAATTTGACAACTGAGATCAAGAAGAAAAGAAAAGGAGGGATGCCTGGGTGGCTCAGTCGGTTAAGCGGCTGCCTTTGGCCCAGGTCATGATCCCAGGGTCCTGGGATCGAGTCCCACATCAGGCTCCTTGCTCAGCAGGGAACCTGCTTCTCCCTCTCTCTCCGTCTGCTTGTGGTCTCTCTGTCAAATAAATAAAATCTTTAAAAAAGAAAAAGGAAATAGGAAGAAGAAAAACTAGTTTAGTCAAATATTTACTTGTTAATATTTTTAATTTATTAATTCATTTATGAAAAATAACTTTTCCCAAACCAAAAAAAAAAAAATCAGTAAGACAGTTGGCATTGTTTTACATTTTTGGAAACCCCTTTAATGCCTGACTGGATTCTCATATCTGCTTCTGCATTCCATCTGTTGCTATATCAACAAACATAATTTTTTCTCCATGTGGTAGAAACTAAGGATATGGCTAGAATACAAAGATGAATCCTCCCCTGCCTTGAGTTCAGACCAGAGAGGTTTGGAGACTTGTGGAAAGAGAGAGAGAGAGAGTGAGTGAGTGCATCAAATAAATAAATAAATAAATAAGTGAGTGAATAAATAAATAAATAAATCTCCAGAAAAAGTCAGAAAGACCAAGTCATACAGAGATGCAAAGAAATTCACACTTGAGCCCTTAGAGCTATAAACAGAAAACTCAACACTCTTCTGCTTAATACTGTGTTTGTGAGGGGAGGGCAAGGGGAGGAGGTCTCACTTGCTTAATAAAGGTCTTAATAGGGGCACCTGGGTGCTTCATGAGGTTAAGCATCCAACTCTTGATTTCAGCTCGGGTCATGATCTCAGGGTTGTGAGATCGAGTCTGCATAGGGCTCTGCACTGGGCATGGAGCCTGCTTAAGGCTTTTTCTCTCCCTCTCCCTCTGCCCCTCCAACATCCCCCTTCCCCTCTAAAAAAATAATAAAGGACTTAATAACTGTCAGTGGCTATAAAAAGTTCCTACTTAAAGATTGAGCAGAGATGTTCTTGAAACCTTGTTTTGTTGTTGGAAAATAAAAAACTTCCTACTATAAAAAGTAAGGCTTTCACATCCCTTTTCACAGTGTTCCAAAAACTGGCCCTAAGGGGGCACCTGGGTGGCTCAGCCCGTTAAGTATCTGACTTCCACTGGGGTCATGGTCTTGGGGTCCTGGGATCTAGCCCCATGTCCAGCTCTGCACTCAGCAGGGAGTCTACTTCTCCCTCTGCACTGCCCCACCCCCCGCTCATCCTTTCTCTCAAATAAATAAAATATTTTTTTTAAAAAAGATTTTATTTGTCAGAGTAAGAGAGAGTACAAGCAGAGGGAGCGGCAGGCAGAGGGAGAAGCAGGCTCCCCACTGAACAGGGAGCCCGATGCAGGATTCGATCCCAGGACCCTGGGATCATGACCTGAGCTGAAGGTAGATGCTTGACCAACTGAGCCATCCAGGTGTCTCTAAATAAATAAAATCTTTTTTTTTTTAAAGATTTTATTTATTTATTTGAGAGAGAATGAGAGACAGAGAGCATGAGAGGGAGGAGGGTCAGAGGGAGAAGCAGACTCCCTGCTGAGCAGGGAGCCTGATGCGGGACTCGATCCCGGGACTCCAGGATCATGACCTGAGCCGAAGGCAGTCGCTTAACCAACTGAGCCACCCAGGCGCCCTCTAAATAAATAAAATCTTAAAAAGAAGGGCGGGGGGGGGGCCTTAAGGCCCTTGGGAATCCTACGCCTGGAAGGGAGGGATGTGCGACACTTTAAACTCTAGGTTAAAGCAGGATCATTGCCTCTTGACCCTTGCCTGACAGCTGATTGGGAGCTGGCCAAGAGTTACAGGACCTGACAGGTGGACTGGTGATTCCCCCCTCCAGAGCAGCGGTGACAAATTCAAACTATCTTTGGCACTCTTGGCTTCTTTCTCTGCTCATCTGTCTTTACTGTACTCCCACTTTAACCTAGTTTATCAGCTTGCCCTCTCATGATTCAAGCAAATTCCCATTTCTTTTCTTCAACATACAATTTTTTAGTCTTCAGAATGCTCTCTCCTCTTTTTTGTTCTGCTGGATCCTGCCCAATATCTCTTCTAATACCTGGCTTACAGTATTTTTGAGAGGTCTTCCATTCATTCATTTGCCATATACTTGGTGGCTAGGCCTTCTGTATTAATTAAACATACTCCTCTCTATTCCTTCAGCAATTGGGTACCCCATTTGTTACTTTTGTACATACTGCATGTTTTACATAGGTATTTTCAAGCTACTACTTTTTATTCTGCCTCCCCATTTGCTTCCATGTATTTTTAAAATTTCTTCTTTAATTTCCTGATTATTCTGGAAAATCATTCTATTCTGCCTCCCCATTAAACACAGAAGCAGTGACCCTTTTCTTTCATCATCCTATATTATTGTCCCAATAATAGTAATGTAGTGCTATGGTAGTAATCTGTACTCTCTTTTAATCCTCACAAAACCCTGTAAAGTGTTAATATTCCTGGGTCCATTTTGCAGACCTAGAAACTGAGGTTCAAAGAGGTTACTCCAGTCCTCCCAAATCAAACAGACTTTAAGTGGCAGGGAAGGTGGCATCCAAGATCTGGGCTAGCCTCAGAAATCTAGCCTCAACGACAAATATTAAGTAAGGCCCTATAAGGGTTGGGACAGAGGTTCTGAGGGAGAGGGTTCCCAATCAGTAATACTGACAAATACACAAAAGCAAAACCAGAGGTCCAGCTGCAGGGCGTGTTTTTGTTTATTTGTTTAGTTGTATTTGGTTTGGTTTTGTTTGGAAGACGGGGTTATGATCACTCACCTCTCCCGACCTGGCCCTGTCCAGCCCCTCCTTGGAGGGATCGACGGCCGGAGGCTGGAGGCTGGAGGCCAAAGGCTACCCAGGCAGGTGGTGACCTCGGAGGCAGAACCACGGCCTCGAGTCGCGCCGCTAACGGCGGAAGATTGACGCGGTTGGACCGCGCCATTCCCGAAGCGATAAGGGGCATAATCTTGGCAGCGTCCTTAAAGATTAATAGGAAAAAGGTGGTGAGGGTGACTTTCTTCCCCGCCCGCCCTTTTTCTTTCTCCACTCCCCGCGGGCCCCCCGCGTCCATTCCACGGCCTAATTTACTAAGAGAGTCTTGTGGAATAGGGGAGGGGGGAAAGCCACTGATAGCAATTACGGTAACTCCGTTGCTAACACAAACGGACTCATTTACATATAATTTGCATGTTCAGGTACTTATGGAAGTACCCAATGTGTCTGTACTTCCTTTCTTTAATAGGGCACCCACAACCGCCTGCTGGCCTGCCTCTCTCTGCTCTAGGCCAGGGGGCCCTGTCCCTTATCCAGTAAATTTTACTACCTTCTCGGTTCCCTAGCCTCGCAAACGCTACCTCTGAGCCTCCGGAAGATTGGCCCCTCCTCCCACCCGTAGGCTCCTCCCTTCGCCCTCTCCTCCCTCCCTAGCTTCCAAATGCGTCTTCCCCGCCCCCTTTTCTATTTCTGAGCAGGCATGTTCCAGGCAGCTCACCCGACTCCTTAGATTGCTATGGGATTGGTAGGGTCCTGAGCGTCGGAGAAGCCGGAAGGCATATCCCAAGAAGGGTTGCTGGGACTCACAAGAAGAATTGAGCCCTACTGGGATTTTTTATTTTCGTCTTGCTTTTGCGGAGGGAAGGCGAGGAGGCTGTGCGGCCCGGTCGAACTTGAGGCAGTGCGAAGGCCCCCTCAGGCGGCGCCGAGGGCAGCCCCTAAGCCGGGGCCTGGCTCAGCCGCCGCGGCCGCTGTCAGGGAAGCGCAGGCGGCCAATGGAACCCGGGAGCGGCCGCTGCTGCTGAGGCGGCGGTGTCGGCAGCCCGACCCCGACCGCCCGCACCCCCTCCGCGGGGGTCCTCAGGAGGTAAGCGACTCCTACCCTGGGAGTCCCCCTGGCCCTGTGCGTGGGGGGTCCCTCTCCCACCCTGTCCCGCACAGCCTCCCCCCGCCCCCACACCTGGGTTTGACTACAGAACTGCCCTCCGGGTGGCAGCTGCACCCCGGGTGCCTTCACCCTTTCCCTTCAAGTCTGGGGTCCTTCTCTGCTTTCTTGGCTTCCTCTTCTGTTTAGCTCCTCCCTCCGCCCGGGGATCCCCCCGCCGCCCCCCCCATCCCTGTTGCCTCTGTCCCGAATTATTTTCTCCTAAGTCACGAACCCTTTCCACATCAGGGTACCTCTTGTAATGTCCATTCTTGTTTGCCCTTCCTCGTCAGCTGTGTTCCGCCCCAAACCTTTCCCACAGCCTCCTCCTTCATCCCCTTTTCCTATTTTTGCCCCTTTCCTCCGATGTCTCCGTGCAACCCCAGCACTGGGTTCCCATTTCCCTGAGCTCTCTCTTCCCTGTGGCCCTCTATTCCTCTGTTTCTGATTCCATTACCTCACCGCCACCCACCCAGCTCCTGGCTTCCAAGAATTGCCTATTCCCCTCCCCTTAAGAAATCTCAGGCCTTCATCGTCATTCCCAAGGTACTATTTGCATTGTACTTTGGTCTTAATCCTTACCCTTCTCTAGAGAGCTTTATGATCCCTGTAACTTTCTTTAGCTTCCCTTTTCCCACTCCTCAATACCCCAACCTCTGGAGGTTTGTTCCTATAGAAAAGATCTAACAGTGCCTCTTCCCATTCAGGATTTCCATCTCTGACACCTTCTCTCTCTCTCGTTTCAAGGATTTTGCTGATCCTTGTGACCCTTGGTTCTGTTTTCCCTGTGGTCTTCCTGTGTTCTCTGTCACATTCTTTATCTCTACATACCACTTATTTCAGGATCAGCTAAATCTTGAACTAAGAAGAAAATGTGTTGGTGGGGGGAGCCTCAGCTGTCTCACTCAGGCTTTTCTGGACAGAAGGGTGTTTCTGAAGGATGGAGTAAGTTTTGAAGAAGTTCCTATCAGATTACACTTTGTTGACTACCCAGGATCAGCCACTAGGAGGGATGAACAGGCCTGCCTGGAAACTGTGAGATTGTGAGAAATTTTGTTTTGGGTTACTTAATTTTAGGCTTGTCCTTAAGGGATCACTGATTAGAGTGTCTTCCAGATCCAGAAGGAGTCAATTTATTATCTGTGGCTTACTGGAATAGTTTTGGTTGATTCCGTAAGGCTTAGGCCTAGGGTGGGTTTGGGGGTAACTGAGAAAAGGAACATGAGACATTAGAGAGAGCGTGGACATTCAGAATCAGGACTTCTGGATTCAGTATGTGACTTCCTCACTTGACCTCTAGAGTGACCTTTTTGGGAGAATGGCCCACTCTGTGGGCATCAGTGCAGTAATGGGCTACTTGTAACATGTGGGTTGGGGGAAAAATTAGATTTGGTTTATTTGTTTACAAAACATTCTGGGTTTCACAGAGAAAAGGCATTTCTTAGTAGTGGTTTAGCTGACCTGAGAGTTTTCCTTCATTGTGATCTCTCTATTGGGTCTTTCTAGTCGACAGCTGTGGCAATAAGTCCATTTGAAAGACAAGCTCCAGGCCTGCTTCCTTTGTCTGCCTTGCCTTTTTTCTCCGCTACATGAAGTTGCTGACCACCTGTGCTGTTCCTCTTGGACTTGATCCATAACTCCAGATTCTGTAGATGGAAAAGTATGTTTGTGGGAAAGCCCTTTGAGGAAGATGGCTGGGAAAGAGAACTTGGAGTGAAGTGGGACTTGGGAAACTAGTTGCTCCCTTGTATGCCATGTCTCTCTTGGCCTGTGATAGTGAAGAGGGCATGTGAAGTTGCATTTTTCTTCCAACTCTAAGTCTTTTTGAAAGTAATCATGCTTCCTCTTCCCACTTATCCCTTGTCTCCCTCTTCATTGTTAGCCAGAGTGCAGTCTCCTCATCCTCCTTTTTAGGAGTAGTTTCCCTGCTTCATTCTCAGAGCTGGGTCCACGCTGCATGAGAACGTGTTTGCTGAATGCCATCCAAAGCAACAAATTGAGATTCTTTGATTTGGGGAAGAAGTTTGGGAGGAACCTTTCAGTAATTGGCATGAGACAAGAGAGGGCCTAGTCCAAGCGCATTTGGGGCTTGCAGCAGGGAGGAACAGTTCAGAGAGAGGTGAGTGCACAAGTTACTTTCTTTGCCATCTGTCTGTTTCAGCAGGGGCTCCCAGAGCTGGCTTGGGCTGTCTGACTGGAATCTGCTTATACCAGCTCCCATGGCCCTGCACAGAGACTTCTCAGCTTGATTCAATATTGGCTTAGCTACCCTGAGACCACTGCCTTCCCTGCCTTTCTGCTGCTAGCTCAAGAATGCCCTCTTCCCTGATGCCAATCCCCCACTGGGGCCTTGGGGGAAACATTTACGGGATTCCTGCTAGGGTCTGAGCCTACTTACTGTTCGTCCCTGGGTTTCTATGAGAAAAAAAAGTAGCACTTAATCTCTACTTTGTCCATTGAGGTCAAGGGAGAAAGATGAGCTGAGGCCTTTTTAACGAAAGGTTTGAGTTAGACTTTAGGATATGAGGAGGAACTTCTCAACAGCAGAACAAGCAGCCTAGGGTTATGTGGAGTCTCTTTGGAAGAGCAGCTTCTTTTTTTTTTTTTTTTTTAAGATTTTATTTATTTGACAGAGAGAGAGACAGCGAGAGAGGGAACACAAGCAGGGGGAGTGGGAGAGGGAGAAGCAGGCTTCCCGCGGAGCAGGGAACCCGATGCAGGGCTCGATCCCAGGACCCTGGGGATCATGACCTGAGCCGAAGGCAGACGCGTAACGACTGAGCCACCCAGGCGCCCCGAGCAGCTTCTTTTTAAAAATTATTATCAAAGGTGGGGCGCCTGGCTGGCTTAGTTGGTGGAGCACACAACTCTTGATCTCTGACTTGTAAGTTCAAGCCCACGTTGAGTGTAGAGATTACTTAAAAAAATAAAATCTTTAAAAGAAAATTATTATCAAAGGCAAACATGCACTTGGTAATAAATCCAGTGGTACTTAAGAGTTTATGATGAAGGGGCTCCTGGGTAGCTCAGTCGTTAAGCGTCTGCCTTTGGCTCAGGTCATGATCCCAGAGTCCTGGGATCGAGCCCCACATCAGGCTCCCTGCTCAGTGGGAAGCCTGTTTCTCCCTCTCCCACTCCCCCTGCTTGTGTTCCCTCTCTCGCTGTGTCTCTCTCTGTCAAATAAATTTAAAAAAAAATAAGAGTTTATGATGAAATCAACAGTCCCTTTCCATTCTTCCCACTCCTCCTTTAGAGTTAACACCTTAATTATCTCAATGTTTATTTTTGAAGGTTATCACCATAGCATTGGATAAAATGCTTGTGCCTCTATTTCTTGGTGTATTAATTGTTACAAAAGAGCATTGAACTTTAGAGGATTTACACTTCTTGTTTATATAATAGTCATTTTTATTTATTAGAAGCCTCTGTAATTGTAAATAACATATGTGAACTTCCCTTTTCTATGAACTTGTAACAGTCTCTTAACTACCCACCTTGTAGGATGAAGATAGTGGCTTCACTACCCTTTTTTCCAACTCACATGATCCATCTCAAAGGGAGGAAAATTGAGCTTGCCTACCTGCTTGGAAATCAGATGAGCTCTTAAGACAGTTCCATGAAAATACAGGAACCTGTAAAAACATGAGGATTTTCCTGAACCAATCCATATTTTTCTAGTCCCCCAAGAAGGGAATGGTCATTAACTGGGTGAGGGGATTGATTTGGGGCTTTCTACTGTCCTGTCTAGCAGAGACCAATCCAGGAAATCCTTTAATGAAGATCAGTAGGGGGTTGGAAGGTTCTTTGCCTGGAATCTTGTGATGAGAAGCAGGAAGCCAGGTTAAACATCCCCTCCCCCTAGAGTTTTTGCAGACATTTACTTAAATGCTAGGTCATACAGAATACAAACATGTACACCCTCTTTGTCCTCTATAGCCACTGCTGTGCTCAGCCCTGAACAACCCCCTGATGCTTAGATGAGGATTCCCTACATTGCCCAGACAATTAGCTGTGGAGCCCCATCAGTTGTTAACACTCCTCCACTCCTACCCAGTGCCTAGAAGCCAGCTGCTAGGCTGGGGTGGGGGAGGCCTCTTCAGTTCCTTCATCATCTAATTGGAAGGCTAGTTTAGGCTCCCAGTGTGAAATGTGGAGCCTCAGTTGTTTGAACGTCCTTGAGAGCATAGGAGCCATTTGATATTAAAGGTTTGGATTTTCTTCTTTTTTCCTATTCTCTTACAAGGCGACGGGTGATGAATATAGGACCTCTTCCTTTTTTCTTTTGCTTTCTAGTCCTTTCACTTTTTTTAGAATGGTTACTTACCGAAGTTATATTGTCTTTGCTTTTGAAAATGAATGAACTGATGTTGAAGACCGTATTAGGACTTAGGTTTTGGAGAATCCCTTTCCTATTTCTTTTTTTATTTTATTTTATTTATTTTTTTTTTTTAAAGATTTTATTTATTTATTTGAGAGAGAGAATGAGATAGAGAGCATGAGATGGGAGAGGGTCAGAGAGAGAGGCAGACTCCCTGCTGAGCAGGAGCCCGACGTGGGACTCGATCCCAGGACTCCAGAATCATGACCTGAGCCGAAGGCAGTCACTTAACCAACTGAGCCACCCAGGCGCCCCCTTTCCTATTTCTTACTGTCTAAATTGGCAACTCAGTACCTCCTCCCCCCATGACTTGTTTCAGATGCAGGCAA